TGGAATGCTGTGCCCTGGGCATTGGCTTTATTTCCCTGAGATCACAGAAAGGTGCTTAGAGAGGTTCCTTCAAACCTGAAGTAGAGATGGTGGAACTTAAGATTCTGCTGCATCTGGGTCTCAGCTGAGATGTCACTAACACTGACTCCTTACTGGACCCTATTATATGCCAGCCAGATCCCAATCAGGAATAAAAACTTACTCCCCAGGCTGCAGGCAGAATCCTTCCACTGTTGGCCCCTCCAGTTAGTGCCTTGCCTAAGAGAATGACTAATGCCAGAGGCCTGTGACCTCCCCTGGGACAGCCAACCCTCAATACCCATCCTATCCTAGGCATAAGATCCCAGTCCCTTCACTCTTGACTCATGACAATTCTGAGGGCCCTGTCAGCTTCTGAGCTTTCAGTTGGGTTAGTTAATGTCTTTTGTTGGTTGTCACCTGCTCTTTTTTTTTCTCTGTTTATGGTACTGGGTCAGGGCCCAGGGACTCAAGCATGGTAGGCAAGCTCTCTACCACTGAGCTGCATGCTCCCAGCCCAAAGCCTTTCATTGGAACTATCACAGCCCAACTTCTCGCTCAACTTTGTATCTTTCTGTTCCTTCTCAAAATTCCATTCTGATCCTGAGGGTTTAAGCTATAGCCAGGTTAAAAATAGAAAGCACCTTCTGTCCAAGTCCTAAACATATAGAGATCCTGATCCTGATTTAAACATGTATCAGCAGAAGACATGGCCACTCTCCAGAATCTATGGAGGACTTAATCTCTTGTTTTGGTTGCAAAAGATATTAAAATGACAATTCTTGCCAGACAAAAATTTGAATTGGGGACCCCCCAAAAGAAGAAATCATAAGAGAGAAAATGAAAACTTTATGAAACCACCATAAAATTTTAGCAGATGCCAAAATGACATTTGTGCAGACTTAACCAAAGATAYTATGTGACCCCAGAGGACCAGTACACAGCCTCACCCTGGTGGTAGCTCTGCCTCCCAACTTCTGAGCAGATAAAGCAAATCACAGGCTGCCTCTTTCTGTCTAACCCGCTCACTGTTTGCACTCTTCTTCAAAGTAAAGACTTAAGGAATCAAAAAGACCCGGATGCCATTCTAGTCTCATCACATACTAGTGATGTGAATTTGATCAGTTTGTTAATCTCTCTGTATTTTGTTTCCCTTATTCAAAAACTGAGAGATGAAGAAAATGTCTGCAGCATAGTTGGAAGCATTAGCCACATTTATAGAGCCGTGCAGAGAATGTTCTAGCACTGTGGCTAACATTCTAGTCCAGTGGTCCTCACTTTAGCCATGCAGAGGAATTAACTGAAGAACTTTGAAAAATAATGAAGCCTGAAGTAGAGATGTGTTTATAGCTCTCCAGATGATTCTAAATGTTCTCAAGTTGCCATCTACAGATTATTTTATTTAACTCACACAACTATGCTATGAGTTCAGTACAGTTTTCTCCCACTTCCCATTGTTACAGGCGAGGAAACTTAGGTTTGAAAGATTAGAAGATCACTCAACGATAGCCAAGGGCAAAGTTGGGATTGAATTCACAAAGGATAACTCCCAAGACCTTATACACCTCCCAATACACTGCTGTGCTTCCACCCCATCTGTGATTATGAAGAATCTAACATCTTCTCTAGCATGCAGAAGGTGCTTCATACTTGGGAACTAATTTTGTTCTTTGCTTTTAACTTCCTGATCTGCATTCTGTGCTCTTAACAATCCCCAGATATCACTGGGAATTCAGTAGGAATGCGGGGTAAGATTTAGATTCACAAAATAAAACAAAAGAAAAACACTCTTTTTTTCTTCTTTCTCTCTTCCCAAACCCTGGCCATGAGTATAATTTGTTTTATGTTTAAAATCTTTTTGTTTGTGTTTGTTTTGAGATGTTGCCCAGGCTAGTCTTGAATTCCTAGTCTGAAGAGATCCTCTGTCTCAGTCCCAAGTTATGAGATTACAGGCATCCACCATTGCACCCAGCTTTAAAATCTTTTAAAGTAATTATTGCAGATACTATATAAAAATATCAGGAATCCAAGGTGAAAATTTTCTTCCATCCTTTCTCCACTTTAAGTCAGTGTTTTCTTTTACCTATGTCAATTTATAGACCTGGTCCATGAGCCCATGAGGATTTTGTTGTTGATGTTGTTGTTTACACATGTAATTATATATTTACAATAGTCTGTTAACATGATACATATCTTTCTAGATTTGTTTTATAACCCAAATAAGCACCCTGGTATTGCTCTGTAGGTAATGGAGGCAATTTTACTATTACTAATTTTACTAATCTGCTTGCATCAGATTCTCATGTCTTTTGAAATATTTTCATTAAAATTTTTTTCTCTTAGGGGGAAAAAAGGCATAGCCTCATTATCCTGAAAGCTGATAGTAAAATTTATAAGCCTGTAAAGGGCACATGACATGACATTTGTCTTTCCTTACTTGCTATATACTCCTAAGTATCTGCTCTCTTCATCCATGTGCCTAGCACAAGTAAGAACTCAAAAAATATTTGATGCATGGACAAATGATGCTATAAAATAAGATTTCTTAGGAGCAGGGACAGAAGACTCCAAAGTCTGAAAACAGAGTAGGGTGGACCACAGCAAAGCAGGCAGGAAAGGCAGCCGGAAACCTCATGGTAAAGGCCAGCTAAATTGGCCAGGAGGAAACACGTGGTTTCCTGAATTAAACCCGTTCAAACCTTCAACCTTTGAAGAATGACATATGTAAACGATGTCAGGAACCCACAACTTGCCCAACAGTCACATTTTGGGATTGTTTTTAAAAAGTTGTTTGTATCCTTGGGCTCCTCTCTCTCTATGTACTGCACTGGGAAGGATATGGAAATGGAAGCAGCTGTAGTAAAAACAACTGCAAATAATTGAAGTAGGTATGCTTCAGGAGACCACCCATGTAATGTCCTTAGGGGAAGGATTTCTACATTAGATCCATTGGATCTTCTCTGGATATACCAGAGGGACTTCAGGAAACTGTGAACAGCTGACATCCATGTAAATTGTGTGTGTGTGTGTCTGTGTGTTTCTTAATTCAGCATAGTTGGAGAGAAGACCTCAGCTTGCATCAGATTCTAATGTCTTTTGATGAAAAGGCCTCCTCCTCCTTCCACTTCTCAACTAAAGAGAGGGTGAAGTCAAGGGAGCTAACCCTATGCAGAATCTTCTATAAAGTCAAGGCTATAAAAGTCTTGGCAGCCAGCATATGAAAGGGTCCATTACTTCTCTATGCCAAGCGCTTCATTTTTAAATTTTTTTTCAGTCTCACAACAATGCAACAAGACACAGAAGTCCCATATTCTATGTATGAAAAAACTAAAACTCAGAGGCATTGAGTCACTAACCTAAGGTCACACAACTAGTGGTAGAGTTCAGAACTATCTAATTCCAAAGCTTGGATTCTTCCTCTCTAAGCTATGGCCTAAATTACTGGCTAAGCTTTCAGTCTAGAGGCAGTTTCTCTGCAGCAGTGAGGTTCACATATCAGAAGCCCCAGGGCCCTGCCCTCTCCCTGACTCTGTCCATCAGAACAGGCAAGGAGCCCAAAAATGATACTCTTAGGGCCAAGGAATAATCTGCTTGCTTATATAATATGGCCCCAATCATCCTACTCAAATTCTACACTCAAAGCCAATTTCTGTTTCAGGATATTGAAAGTTAATTAAAGAAAGAAATCATAGCTAAATAATCCCTTGTCTTTTTGGTGTAGCCAAGTCCAAGCCAGAAGGGAAGAAATGTGTCCTAGTAGTCACAAATGACAAAAGCCAGAAAGCTTTAAACTAAGTCTACTATCTTCTGGTTTCCAAGTCCATGCTAAAACCTTCAGTTAACTACTGGCTACTGAAACACCCTTCTATCACATGAGAATCGTGGCATATGCACACACTGAGCACTTCCTATGCGGCTGTGCTTTACTTCTATTATCTCTATCTTTTAAAAGAGTCAAGCAAGCTCGATGGATGACACTGCTTGTGAGGTTAAGCAAGTCCCTCAGGTTCACACAGACAATAAGTAGCAGAATCAGGATTTGAACCTAGGCCTATCTGATGACAGTGTGAATCCCGTTAAGCCACATCCTCCCACCCTGTGGACACAGCTACTGTGATTTATGGTACCTAAGACCAACATCATTTCTTTCTTTTCCCTGTGCAGAAAAAAAAAAAAAAAAAAAAACTTGCTCTGAAATTTGGCTAGTCTCTTGGGAGGCGGGCCATGGAAGCATGACAGATGAACTCTGTAATATAAATGGAAGGTGGTTCCAGGTTAAGCTCTGCCACTTACTGCCGCTGTCACCTTGGGGCAGATCAGTTAAACTTCCAAGGCCAGGGTTTCTCACCTATCAGGTGCAGATCATTGTAGTGCTCCACATCCCAGAGATCTAGAAGCGAATAGGAACCAAGGTACAGCAAATGTTAATTACCTTTGACCCTCCTTAAGACACTGACTGATCAGAGAAAACTAGGTAGTAGCCTTTTCTCAGCTTCAAGTGAGCCTTCCACTTCAGCCTCCCGGATTAGCCAGCTGATTTTTCTGAGTTCCTGGCCAACACTGGAGCTCTACCAACGCTACCGCCTTGCGCTCTGCTTACATTTCCCCTTCCTTTCAGTAGTTCTTCTGCCTGACCTGGAGGACTGGTCTTGACTGCTCCGACTCTGGCTACTTTCCTTCTGATTTCTGGGTACCAAGATCTGTCTCTCCTCAGTACTCCACGCATCAGGGCCGAGCGTTTAGCTCCGCTGTTCCAAGCTCTGGAATAGCCGCGAGTGCTCACCGAGAGGCGCGTCCCGCCCTCGAAAAAGGGTGTGACGGGAGAGTTTAGATAGGAGGCGCCTACTGTGGGGAACACCCTGCCGCCCGCAGAGCTTCCTTTACAGTTCAGCCTCTTCACCAGAGCCGCGCGGGGAATCGCAGGGGGCTTCTCGGCACCGGGGCTCACGCCCTCCCACCGGCTCCACTCGAGCCCGCCCACCATGAAGTCTCCCTTCTATCCATGCCAGAACACCACCTGGGTGGAGAAAGGCAACTCAGCGACGATGGGCGGGGTACTGTTCAGTGCGGGCCTCCTGGGCAACCTGCTGGCCCTGGGGCTGCTGGCGCGCTCAGGGCTAGGGTCTTGCCGACCGCGCCCGCGGCGCCCGCCGCCCTCGGTATTCTACGTGCTGGTGTGCGGCCTGACCATCACCGACTTGCTGGGCAAGTGCCTGATAAGCCCGGTGGTTCTGGCTGCCTATGCGCAAAATCGGAGCCTGCGGGGGCTAATGCCTGCGTCCGGCGACGAGTCGCTGTGCCAAACCTTCGCTTTCTTCATGTCTTTCTTTGGGCTCGCATCGACGTTACAGCTCCTGGCCATGGCTCTGGAGTGCTGGCTTTCCCTGGGGCACCCCTTCTTCTACCAAAGGCACATCACCCTACGCCGGGGCGTACTCGTGGCTCCGGTGGTGGGTGCATTCTGCCTGGTTTTCTGTGCACTGCCCTTGATGGGTTTTGGGAAGTTCATTCAGTACTGCCCGGGCACCTGGTGCTTCATCCGGATGGTCCGCGATGACTCGATCTGGGTGGTGGTCTACTCTGTTCTCTACTCCACGCTCATGGCGCTGGTGGTTCTTGCCATCGTTCTGTGCAACCTGGGGGCGATGCGCAACCTTTACACTATGCACCAGCGACTGAGACGACACACGCGCTGTGGACTCAGGGACATCGCAGAGCCAGGCGCGGAGAAGAAGGTGGCATCCTCACATCCCTTGGAGGAGCTGGATCACCTCCTGCTGCTGGCCCTCATGACCGTGCTCTTCACTATGTGCTCTGTGCCTTTAATTGTGAGTAGCTGGGAGCAAGGTTGTGGGGAACTGGGGCGTGTTGGGCCGCTAGTGCCGGGCTGGAAGGGTGGAACCCCGTGAACCCCGCGACCGCACAAGAGGAGCTGCGTCCTGGGCCAGGAGGGTTTGTTACTGTGCTCCTCAAGTCGGATTCCCTCCACAGCCCTAAGATAAAGTCCAATTCGCTGAACGAGAAGAGGGAAGGTCAGGAAAAGGGAAAGAAGACAAATGGTATGTCATGACCCAGCAAAACCCTTTCCATTGTGACAGGACTCCCTCCTGTCTGCTTCCCTCTGGGGAGCTCTCAGGGGCAAAAATCCTTCAAACCTTGGAGAAGTTTGGTCTTTCCGTGACAATACGGTTCCTCTGCTTTTCCTGATGGCTAGGTGAAGTTTTATTTCTTTAGATGTGCTCATGGTTTTAATGGTGTAAGAAATGGACGAATGGCGTCTGAGGGTTCTTCTCTGGGTGTTGGGGTGGAAAGGAACTAAGGGACAGTTGAATTCTTCCCCATTGGTTTGCAGATTTAGTTTGGGAAAACTCGTGAGTGAACTTGGATGCTCTGTTGCAACTGTTTCTGGTGCCACCGCGCGAGGAGGTGTGGTACAGGCTAAGAGGCTGTTTGTATGTGGTTACAGCTGGTGGTGTCCTTTTGACAACCTGCCTTGACAGGTTTTGTTTCTATTCTGGCAAGTGAGTTGGCATGAAGGCCATTATCTTGGGTTTCAAGTTACTGAGGGGTTTGAATTACCTCCAGTATTGAGGGTTTTCATTCCTGGGGGCCCAGACACCTGGAAATGGCTGGCATAGGAGAAGACTTTTTCAGTATAGCTCCTCCCCCTCTCTCCCACCTCCAAAGTACCTGTTCAGCAAAAACTACATTTGAATGAATTATAATAATAGCCAGTTCAAAGTCTTTGGAATCAGAGACTTATGGGACTAGGAAAGTTAATTTCTTACCAGGATATAGCAATTCTGGATATTATTTTCAATGGGGAATCAAAGGGAGATGTAAAGTGATTTTCCTTTAAATGAAGATCTCAATGTGTGGAGGACGCATAACCTGTAGCACTATCATGCAGGATTAGGATCAGAACTCCATCAATCAATCAGTCAATGTCTATATAAAAAGGCAGAGGTAGACGTAGTAGATAGATTCACCAATGGTTCTCAAACTTTAGCATGCTCAGAATCGTCAGCAGGCTGTAAAAAGAAAGATTACTGGGTTCCACACCCCCAGGATTTCTTTAGGATGTTTTTAGGTTTTTAAAAAATGTTTGTTTGTTTTTGTTTTTCTTCCAGAGCAAGGGGTTAACCTAAACCTCACACATGCTAGACATGTGCTTTACCACTGAACCACATCCTTAGCCCTAATTTTTATTCTTAACAAGTTTCCAGGTGAAGCTGAAACTGCTGGTTCAGGGATGGCATTGGTGGAACCACATTCTAAACAGGAGTTGGCAAACAAAAGCCCACAGGCAAAGTCTGCCCTGCCCGCTATTTTATGTACAGCCCTGAAGTTAATAATAGTTACCAATGAATATTTGCAACCAACCCAGACCTTTAAGTCCCAACTAAGCCAAATTCTATTCCATTAAAAAGTTTTATTCTTCTCCATAGTAAATTTGTATTCTAAAAATTGTGCCTAATTATTATTGCATCCTAAATGTCATCAATAAAAATTGTGGAAATGTATTTTTTCTTTCTCTCTCATTATCTTGGTACTACCACATAGTAATGATTTTGCCTCTTGGTCTTTAAGACCTGAAATATTTATTGGTTGGTCCTTTATAGAAAATGTTTGCAGACCACCTTAGTTGAAACCTCACTTAACCTAGGCTCTGATAAAGCAGACATTAGCCAAACCATGAAATTTTTGACCTGAGCTTGAATGTTATAGTAAAAATAACACAGAAAGTAACATAATACAGTGGTAAGAGCATTGCATTTGGACATGTCTCTAAGGAGATTTGAATAACTCATAAAAGTATAGTGAGAAGCAAAGAAAATAATGGACTTGAAGATGATTTTTCTAAAAAACTTTTGAAGTTCCAAATATGTGTAATATTGATAGAATTCTTCACAAGAATCATCGTTTTCTAGAAAGGACAAAGGTTTTGGTGTAGGACATGGATTTGAATCAGGCTTCATTACTTACTGGCAAGGATTGGCACTTGTTTATCCTCTGATGTCAGCTTTCTCGTCTGTAAAATAAGAATAATCATACTGTTTTCTGTAAGATAGATATGAAGATTTAAAATTACACACACACACACACACACACACACACACACACACATGCACAGACACACATAGGTAGAATATCCCTAATCCCCAAATCCACATGCTCCAAATCTGAAAATTCTGATAATCAACATGATATCACAAGTGGAAAATTCCACACCTAACCTCATGTGACAGTTTTTTGTCAAAACTCTGGCACACTCAAAATTTGTATAAAATTACTTTCAAACTAAGTGTACAAGGTCCATATGAAACAAATGAAAATCTCATTTAGACTTCCATCACCAAGATATTTCATTATCTATATACAAATACTACAAAATCCAAATAAATAAGTAAATAAATCTTAAATCTGAAACACTTTTGGTCTCAAGCATTTTAAATAAGGAATATATAGCATGTACAATATGTGTGTGTGTGTGTATGTGTGTGTCCCCAAACCAGTGCCTGTGTTCAATAATTAACATTACTCTTATTACTAATTATAGCTTACATTTCTTATTATTGCTTCCTGGATATAGCAAATTAATCAAGAGATATATCTCCTTGGGAAATAGTGTTATAGTCTAAGGTTATGGTTCTCAAATTCTTCATCATTTCAGTACCCCTTTATACTCTTAAAAAATCATAGAAACCCAGAGGGTTTTTATTTATGTTGATAATATCTATCAGTATTTATCATATAAGATATTAAAACTAAGAATTTTTAAAAATACTATTGCAAAGAAGATATCAAAGTCTACTTCTCATGTTTCAATACAGGTTCAAGGAAAACGGTGAGATTTCAAAATGACTTAGTGAATGATATAAAGTTATAGAGATTTTAGCAACTAAAACAAAAAAGCATATTAAATGTAAGAAGTACTTGAAACAGTCTCTGAAAATACACAAGTGTACTCTCAATCTAGAAAGGTCCGAAAAAACCCAAGAATACACAAGCACAGATTAATGCCATTAGCCACAGAAGTGGTGATGTCATCACATGTTATACAGCCTCCATAAAACTCACTGCACACCTTCTACAGAATGAGAATGAAAAATATAAATAACAGTTTTATGAAAAGTTTTGACTTCTTTGCCACACTCAATGGGTATTTGAGACCTCACACTTGAAAACCACTCATCCAAGGAATGGAACTAGCAACTAGAAAAATAAGCCTATATCCAACATACTCGTAACATAATTATTGTATTTCATCAGGCCAGTGAAAAATTTTTTGTTTCCAGTGCTGGGGATTAACCCAGGGCCATAAGCATGCTCTGCAAGTACTTTACCACTGAGCTACACTCTCACCCTAATCTTGAGTATGATTTTTAACATTCACTTCACAATATTGCTGGATTAGAGTAAAATGAGTAGATTGAATTTTCAAATTTGCAATTTTGTACAGCAGGAAATATACAGAATATGGAATGAGCTTTAGAGGCAGTTTGCAGCACATTCTCTAATGTGAATGATATACTTTCACCAGATTCTTTTTATCTTAGAAAACCACAATATGTTGGAGGTTGGAGGGGGAGCAGAGATGGATGAGAGGGGGTGTGTATGTAGAAATGAGTCATAACTCTTGAGCAGTTTAAAAGCTGGATAACGATAAATATGAGCTTGTGTGATTATTTCTTCCAGAATCGGTGGAACCGGAGAAGTGGTAGAGGACATCCTGCATGCATTGAGACAGATCTTGTGTGTATGCCATTTTGGTGGCAGAAAGAATAAATGAGATGCTCCTTTCAAAGAGGAGGTTAGAAACATATAAGGGATGGGAGACAAAAGAAGGGCCCAGAGGAAAGGGGTTAAAGTAGATTAAAGGGCTAGAGAGGAAGGCACATACTAGGGTGTTATGATGATGAACTGGGTAGAAGAGGTCATCAGATGGAGACCTCCGCAGCAGGGATGGCCTGCCAAGTCTCCACCTGGTTGGCAATGACAACATTTTCTCAACGACTTCTATATCCATCAGAAGGTAGTCTTCTCATGCTGTCTTTATATAATTGAACCACTTTTAAAATGCCAGGTGTAGAACAACATTCTTCTAATACAAATCTAGTGACTTGAAAACACAGATAACCCAGCAGGGGTGTAGCTTAGTAGTAGAGCACTGGCCTAGCATGTGTGAGGTCATAGGTTCAGTCCCCAGCAATACACACACACTCTCTCCCTCCCCCCTTTCCTCCCTCCCTCTTCCTTCCTCCCTTCCTCTCCCCTTTCCTCCCTCCCTCCCTCCCCCCTTCTCTCTTTCTTTTTCTCCCTCTGATACATTAATAGAACTGACATGGTAAACACTGCATAGAAATAAAATGATTTGTTGTAATTATAAGAGTATCATTCAGTTACCCAGATACCACTAATCAAGCATTCTTGCATAATTGGAATTATATTGTGCTGTACTCCACTTTGAAGAGAATGGGGCAAATGTAAAAACAAACTCATGTCAACTGCTTTTTAAAATCAACTTAGTCATAGAGTTTATTGTCATCCACATATTCATTCAGCACACATCTGGTATATAGAAATCCAAGACACTCTATAGTTTATTGTGGAGATATAAATTGAGAGAAATATCACATGCAACTACATAAGCCCTAAATCGATGAGTGGGACCATAGGGAAATTTAGCAGAGGACAGGAGACACTCCAAACTGAAAAAAATAATATTAGCTAATTATTGAGTCTTATATGCTAGATCCTGAGCTCAAGGTTTGCCTCATACCATCTCACTTCAGACTTCACAAAAATCGCTCAGAAGGTAGGTACAATAATTTCCACTGTAAATATGAGGAAACAGTAATTTCCCTGAAGTCACACATCAGCGGATTCTAATCCAGACAGACCCTAAAGTGGACTGGGCTTAGCTACCACCTCAGATAATTTTGTAAAGGGTATAATATTTGGGGTAGACCTTGAAGGAAGGTGTGATCTGAGTATATAATCAGTTTACATATCTGTAATATAGGGATAATGACTGTACTTCATAGATTTTTTTTGTGGGGGAGGGCTAAAGATAAATTTTTAAAAGTGCTTAGAACTGTGCCCAGGGACAGTAGGATTTATGTGGGCATTAGTCATTATTATTGCTATTAGTGTTATTAAGCARTAGTTATGGAAGAAGGCATTGAGATGTAAGTAACAGCTGAGTCCAATGTAGGACATTTTCCTAAAGTACACTAGATTGGGGTGGCTGAGCCTGCTGAAATGCTCCATTGAGCAGTATTGAAAAGGCAAAGTAACTGTTATGGGAAGAAGCATCTTCTCCAGGAGATGCTCTTTGATTCCCTTGAATAGGTCTATTCTGCACTTATCCATATCATTTTCTAGTAATGCTGCATTTGCATAGTTTCCATTCCATTAGGGTCCATTTGCCTCATTATGGATTTAGAATCTCAGGAGGCATAGGGTGTTTAATGGCAAAAAGAACAAGTGGCCAGCCTCAGCCTGAGTAGGAGGCAATGGCAGTACTGACCTAGACAGTGTTGGTTGAATGGCAGGAAGAGCTGTGGTCTGAGGCACATTTTAGGGTTTCCAGGAGGCTTTAGGACCTCAGGGAAGACCAAGACAATAGGTAGCTAGACACAGGTAAGTAGGCTTTTATTTATTTATTTTGCACGTTTTTCCTCACTACCTTGAAAAGAGAATGTCAACCACAGAAAGATAGCAATCTATACCAAGGAGAACTAGGGCACTGAGGTGAGCACATGAGGTGAACTATTCCTTTTTCAAGTCACCTCATGTCTTTTCATTGTTGTATTTCCCGTATCTTCACATTGATTTCAGTATTATTGACCCTTTGATATAGGTGATGTTTTCCAAGTGTGACTTATTTCTAAGCAAACTGATAAGAGAGGATAGGAAGCAGGTAGAGAAGAAAGAATTGAATAAAATACAGGTGTAAAGATACTAGCTGGAGAGACTGTATTTATGGAAGTGTGGTGACCCTGTATGTGAAAGCTGTCAGTGGGTCTTCATGGTCTGGCTGGGACCTAGACACCAGAGCATGGCAAGTGCAACAGCCACAGGAGGTCCATCATGCTGGGTCTCCCATATACTCCTCAGTTTCTCCATCTCTCAGACTCCTCACTCACACCCGTCATCTTTAGTGACCTCACCTACTTATAAATTTACCAAATATGAGTATTCCAAGTTAAGCTGCCATGTTCTTACAGAAAGGTAAGTGACATAAAGTGAATCCATTGCTGTCACCAACCTTTCAATATCATAATGGAATGTTTTTCTTCAAACAGTATCGTTCCTACTATGGAGCTGTCCAGGATGCCACTGAAGAATCGGACGATCTTCTAGCCTTGCGTTTCCTGTCTGTGATTTCAATTGTGGACCCATGGATTTTCATCATATTCAGAACTTCAGTATTTCGAGTGTTTTTCCACAAGATTTTCATAAGACCTCTTATGTATAGAAACTGGCAGAGCCATTCCTATCAAACTAATGTGGAATCCAGTTTGTGATAGAGGCTTACAATCTCTGGTAAGTTGGAGAATATATCAGTTTCAGATAAAGATTTAAAAATATATATATATCAGTTTCAGACCCATGATTTTAAAAAAAGCAAAAAAAAACCCCTAAAATCCTTAAAGATTTTATCTCCCATAACAAAAGCATTGAAACATATTTTCAGAAGCATTTGATATAGTTTGAAAATATGTTGCCACTCTGTATTCAAGAACCATTTCAGTACATTTTTTTCATTTTGTGTTATTAACAACAACTAAAATGTTGTATGTTTTAAGCAATGTTAATTGTCTTATAACAATGATATTAATTGTTCCAACATTTGTATCTGGTGCCCCTAATTTTTTTTACAATAAACCTATAGATCTTTATTTAAATATAGTAGAAACACCACTATTTAAAATTATGTGATAAATGTTCTTTAAAAAGCATATCAATGTCTTACCCTATTCATTTCCAGTGATCCCTGAATTATTTTATCTCATTATTACCCCCTGTTTAGTTATTATCCTGGCCAATTGGTCTAGGCAAAACTTGAATCATAGATGGTTCTTAATGTGGGAATATGACCAGGTTAGGCATTTGGAGGGGTCTTCCTGAGCCACCATTTAGGGGTACTTAGTGTTCAGGCGAAGATGCAAAGCTACAAGTAGATGGGAAGAAAGATCTGACTGTGGCCCACAACTCAGACAAGAAAATATTATCTTTTGAAATCTAGCCTTTTAGTATTGAGGCAGGGGTATCAGCAGGAATCAGTATTTGAGAGTGGGCACACAATGTTCTTTCACTTTTGCAAACTCCATTTTAGAGGCTTATCATATTGATGGGTTCTTTGGGGGTAGGATTTACTATGCTTCTTGGACAAACACTGATGTGTGACTTACCAGAGAGCTGTGTTAACTGAGTTCGGCTGTGTGAAGTACCTGGGCATTTGCACAGAGGAACAGGGACTCAGCCAGCCTCACTTGAAGCTAATGACCATGGCCATAACACCTTCCTATAAAGACCGATTTCTGCTCTTATGGAGACACGAAATGTTACTGAGGCTCCTGTGGGCTGTGCTTTCACAACTGAAGCAGGACACAGCTCAGAAGGAGCTCAATCAAGCACTTTAGTTGGACATTTAGAAGTTTACAAAGGTTAGCCAAACTGTGACCAGAACGGAAAAGTGGGGAACCACAGCTGTAGCTGAATTGGAGACTCAGCCCCATATGCAACCCGCACTGTCACCTTGGGTAAAACAACTGGGGAGTGGGGGAGGCGACAACAACCAACTAGAGGGGATCCGGCATCTCTGGAGTTCCTTTGTAGCCCTGCACACTTGGACTCTGAGGTGGAAAGCTGAGACCTCCAGCCAGCAATCCCTCCTGGGGACAAAAGTATTTACCTTGTTTCCAACTTAGCAGTAACTTCCTTTTTTTCACCTCTGGTTTTGCCCATATCTCAGAGACGGTATTAACCTGGTAATATACTTTGTTGTTGTTGTTGTTGTTGTTTTTGTATAGCAAAACTGTGAAAAAAAACAAATTAGGGATATCAGAAATATAATTTGAGAGTATGACATGATGAAGAAATTCAGTTGTTTTTCAAGTTTAGCTTTTGTTTGTATGTTTAATGTGTATATGTGTGTGTGTGTGCGTGTGTGTGTGTGTGTGTGTATATATGTTCATGTATTTTTTTTTGGTCAGAGGAAGTACATCTTTTTGTCTTCTCCTTTTGAAAAATGTGTTATGATAATTGTTCAGAAAATTTGATAAGATCCTAAATAAATCAACAAACATAATTTTTAAAAATTTTGCTCAAGTAATTACTTTTCTTTAAAGGGCTGTGATTTCTGTTTGTAGCAAACAGTTGCCAGCAATATTGCTATCTCTAATAGTATAACAATGTGAATTTTTATATACTATCCTGTTATAATTTATATTACCATAACAAATTTTCATGGTTTATCCAAGGACTTGTTGCTCCTCGTGGTTTCATATGAAATGTCCATATATCATCCTGATGAAATCCATGTCAAGTTAAATCCTACTCTGCAGTAATATTCATTGATTTATTCATTAGTTCATTAAGTTGACACAGATTTTTTGTCAAGCTACTGATTAGGTGCTGAGGAAAATAAGACTCAGTCCTGGTGCCCAACTGCTGGGTTGTACACTGCCAGGAGAAAGGATTGCAAATAATCGTAAGGCAGTGTAGAAATTCTTAGTAGTAGGTGCACACACACCAGACCAGGGGTGACACACAGGGCTGACAGGAGAACTTCACAGGGGGAAGACACTTCAGTCAAGCATTGAAAATGAGTAAAAAATTTGACTGACTCGAAATGAAAACTGGAAAGACACACAAAGAGTTTACAAGAGATATGGGGAAACATATATGATTAATAAATGCTGAAAAATATACAGCCTAATCAAACAAATGCAAAAAACAAAGTCAGATTATCAAAGTCCAAAACAAAAATGTCTCATAAAAAAACAGAGGTTATTGAAAGATGGACATTCATATTCCAGTGCAAAATAGGAGCTTAAAGTGTTTCCTTTATATATTGTTCTAGTAATTCCACTCTAGAGTATTCTCCTAGAGGATAATCAGTGTTGCTGTCAGAATCGTGCACAAACCTTTTCTTGGTAGCCTTATTTATAAAAGCAAAAGAATGAAGATAGCTTGAAAATGGGTAAAGTAAACAAATGTTCAGATATGTTTATTTTTATATAATATATTTGCACAGAAACAAGTGGCCACTAAAAAAGTTTTTTCTCAAATACAACATTAAGAAGAGAGCTTACAATATAATAGTTACAAACATTAAGAAGACAGCTTACAATGTAGTACTAAGTGAAAAGGGCATGATACATCAATTTAAATTATAACTCATAAACATATATGCATAGAAATACCTTGAAAAAAATTAAGCATGAGCAGAACGGGTGGTGCATGCCTGTTACCCCAAGTACTCAAGAGGCTGGGGTAGGAAGAGTGCAAGTTCAAGGCTACCCTGGGCAACTTAGCGAGAACGTGTCCCAAGAAATTTTTTAAATGTCCTAGGCATATAGCTAAGTGGTAGAGCACTTACCTAGCCTGTGGGAGGGCCTAGGTTCAATCGCCAGTGTTGGGGTTAGGGGTGGGGAGAAAGAGAGAGAGAGAAAGAAAAAAATCAAAATGTAAGTGGAGGGTTCTGGGGGGGGAGCATGAAACATGGGTATTATTTTGATGCACATTTCCCCCACAATTCTTTGTATTTTCTAAGATTTAAAACAATAAGTATTTATCTCACATGAGGTCACTCAGGGGGAATGAGCTGCACAAAATAACCACACAGAGACAGACAAATACCTTTTTCTTTGGGGTCCTATGAAAGCTCCTCTGACCTTAGGGGTCCATGGAAAGACAGAGAGCCAGTGAGTGCTGAACCCTTTTATTGGGAAAAAAGCTATTCAAATTTAGGCAAGGGGTCAGGTTTCAGGGGGTTGAATGCGGCTTAGTGTTGTCTGCTGTCAGCAGATTGACTGACATCTAGAAAGGCCACATCCAAAGGCAGAGCAAGAGAAAGGGGACACACAAATGGCATTTCCATGGAACATTCTATCCCCAACAGGGCAAATGAGTGATATCACAAAGGAACAGGTAAGCGTAGCTCAACCCATGGGGTGACACGCCTACGTCTGAAGATGCATCCTCAACCTCCAAGACTAGGTCAATGTCCAGGTCACTACGAGATGTAGTGATGGTCAAAGCCTCTCCTCTTAGGGAAGGAGAATGCGAATCATTCAGAGTGGCCGCCTCCCACACTTTTTCAAAAGAATGAATAGAATTGGCCTGAATAAACCAGGGGAAAGGTGGGAAGGAAGAGCTTTCAGGTCTAAGGCAAAGGCACACAGAAATAAAGGAAGGGCATGCCTGGGCTTAGAAGCTCTATTTGGTGGACATTTGAGATTTAGGACCGAAGGTGGCAAGAGAGCGGCTGAAAGAGTGGCAGGTTTCACATCATAAGAGGTGTCCATATGGCAGTGGAGGGCTGGAACTCTGTGAGACCCAAATAATTGCTGATGACTGAAGGCTTTGAAGGCAGGTGGAGTTGGGGGAAGATGAGACTGGTGCTCTGGCTTGCAGACAAGGCAGCTGGGGTGATCCTACAGACCCCAGGGCACTTGTGAGTCCCTGCACTGGACCAGGGCTCTGGGCTAAGGAAGAAAATGAGCTGAAGTCAACCTATCCCTCCCTGCTTGCCCTTTTGTGGGCTCCACCAACTAAGACAAGGGGGCCTCTTTTTGATCATGTTTATACTTGAAGAGGGACACAAAGACTTCATATGTGCAGGCACTAGGGATTCCCAGCTGCAGGGGAAAGAAAGAGGATAGGAGGAGCTGGATTCAAACACAAATTGCACACAGTGTGCAGTAGGTACAGCTGACACGATTCCTCCTCAGGACTCAGTCATGGCTTTAGTTCTTTCAGTTGCATGTACTTGACCATTTTCTGCTTCTTGGTTTTAATGTAATCAGGAACAAGTTAGGAAAGGAAACAATTTCTGAAAATACAGCATGTTTGTCTGCCTGTTCCCTTGCCCACCCCACTTCCCAGTTTATCTGGACAATATATTACAGCTACTGATTCACATGGAGCCTCTAAGTTATCTGTGAACTAATTGTATGCTACCCAGCCAGGTTAGAAAAGAGTCAGTTGTTAGGACTGGTTAGTCCCCAAAATCTCTCAAAGGCAAATTTCGAAAGGTATTCTTGAAGCTTTAAAAGAGAGAGGAAAATCCCACAAACACAAAGCACTTGGATGACCCTAGACACTCAGTAGCCACACAGCCTTCTCCATCTGCTCATTGATTGAGGTGCTTCATGCTTCAGGTCAGTGCATCTCAAAGTGTGGGCCCTGGCAAGCAGCAGCAGCATCACCTGGAATGCATTAGAAAGGGAAATTCCTAGGCCCTACCTTGGACCTATTGAATCAGCATCCCTGGGGGTGGGACCTCTTGTAATTTCTT